TATTTAAATAAAATATTACTATTTTATTTATTTAGTTTTCTTAGTCGAAACTAATTAACTTATGAGAAAGTTACTTTTCAAGTACATTGAATTCAAGCTCCTTATACACAATTCAATTAATTAGTAATTCTAATATCCCAAAATTGAGATATTCTCTCAATATTGAGAAGTTACCCCAAAATTGAGACGATATCTCAAAATTGCGCGGATATCCCAAGATTTCGAGGATATCCCAAGACGATTCTTTCTTAAATAAGTTAAATAAATTACGACGTTATACAAATAATTAATAAATAAAATATAATAAAAATAAAAATAAAACGTATTACGAAAGTAGATAAAATAATACTAAATTAATAAAGGTTATAACTAAAAATATAATAATAATAAAAATTAAAGAATTTCGGAATTAGTTAAATTCGGCCAAAAGAGCGTCCAAATCTAATTCCGGTAACAAATTGTTTCAACCCTGCCTGCTCTATGAGATTGAGCATTATCATCTGAAATACCATAACTTTGAAAGGTTCAAAGATTGAAGAAGAGGTAATAAGTAATCTTTGAATATTTTTTCATATACTTCACCTGTAACGTTAACATCAAATTTATAAGTGGACCAATTTGACCTTGGGTAAAGCATCTCCATACCATCATTCCAGGTGAGTGAGCAACCTTAGGTACTAAACAATCAATTTTATATTTCTCATGGGGTTGTCTCCAAGCCCAATTTTGGGAGTCATTTGTCAAATACAATGAATCTTGATTCATCACTGAATATGACTTCATTCCACTCTAATCAATCTTTACAACATCTCACAAAATGACAGCATTCTTTCTATTTACTTCTGATATTAAAGGCTTTCTTTCTCCTGCACATATATGATAACCCATATAAATTTCTTTGCACCGTTCTTGTACTTACAAGCCTTGTAAGAACCTTATTTATCTCATTTGGACAACTTTCACTAAAGCATGTTTATCTCTATCTGAAAGTGACTTGGGTTTCCCACTTCTCTTATCATTTTCAACAGTTCCTTCTTTATTATATCTTTCTAGAATATTATATATGGTTCTCAATTGCATCCCAAGTCTTTTGCTTATTTCCGTCTTACATCCCATTTTCAAGCAACAACTACTTCTGCATGCTCAACAACAAATAATTCTCTAATTTTAGTCATCTGATTTAAATGAAATGATATAAAGATCTAAAAACAATTTTATAAGTGTATGTTTATTAGGGAACCAAAATTTCATGTGTAACAAATTTTTCCTAGGGGTTGGCACCGTTAACCGTTCAACCGTGGTTAACCGGTTAACCGCAATTAAACAGTTAACCGGTCAAGATATTTTTTTAACCGGTTAAAATTAATTGGTTAAATTAACCGGTTAACCACCATTTATTAAATTTTTTTTTTTTTATATATTACAGTCAAACCTCGTCACAGCGGACCTCGCCACAACACATTTCTTGTTACAACGGATTTAAGTGTTGTCCCCTTATTAATATTATTAGTAATATGAATACCAACTGTGTCATTATTATCTAAAGAATATTTATGCATTGCAGTAACTTCTACTCCAAATGGGTGTCTACAGCTAAAACTTGTCACAACGGACTATAATTATAACGGATTTTTAAAATTTTTGCTTCACATTCACATTAAAATATAAAAACATAAAAATCCATTGTGGAAAGATCAGTAAATCTGGCCACAACGGGTTTTAAATAAATCTTCATTCATCCGCCGTGACAAGGTTTGACTGTATTTAGTGAAGCTGGAAACACAATGACAGCTGAACGAATAAAATTGAATCCGTTGTTATTTGTATTTCTTAAAAAAAAATATGCAATGTATTGGAAATATTTTTCCTGAGGAATAAATAATTATTATAAATCAATGAATATTCAATGGATATTCGGCGGATATTCGGTGAATGACCAATTATCCGGGTGTTGAGCTTTATTGGTTGACTAGTACTCAAACACCCGGATAATCAATGGATACAACCACTAACATAGGTAGACTCGATAAGTCGGTTTCAGCCAAAAATTTTCAGCCCTTTTTTTCCCTATTTAAAATCTCTTGATAAGTCAGAGTCACGTGACATTTCATTAAATAAATGATCATCATTTCTACTTTTAATAACGTATGATTTTTTTATTTATAGAATTTATATTAATATCATACATTATATCTGATGATTTAGAAATTCTTGTCACGATATTTTATTATTTCATTTCGTATCATCAGGTTATATCATTGATTGTATAATTTATTGCCTGATAATTTAGAAAGAATATTCTTGTTTGTACATAGTGAATCTCGAGTTAGCGGACCTCAATTTAGCGGATACTAATTAAAAATCTCAGTTTTGCGGATAAAGTTCAAAGAACGGTTTCATAATAAACCTTAGTAAAAACCTTCTCTATATAGCGGATATCTCTGTTTAACGGATTTTTGGAAAATTTTCCCTAATTGCCCAAATTATCCGCTAAATCGAGATTTACTTTGTATTGTGAAAAATACATTTATTTATTTTTATTATGTTTTATTGTGTTCGGAAATATGCATAAAAAGGTTGGTTGATTTTCCAAACTTTTATATATAAATAATTATTGTTTTTAAACACAAAAAATTTTTATGTCTCGATAAGTCGGTTCTCTATGTATAAATGAATGATCGATCTAACTAAATTTAGAAATAAGGCAAATTAACCATGCGATCAATACCACGTGATTTCCACTATGGCGAAATTTATTTCAATTATTATTGTAAGCCATCTCCACTGTAACGAGATAGGACCCGGAGGTAACATTCAGGCGATTAGTATTAGTAAATTTTGGAAGACCTTACCCCTTTTAAGCATATAACATTTTCCTTCTTTACCCATTTTAGCATATAACGTGTCAAAGAGTTAAAAGCTTTATCCATCCATATAAGACATGTAACTTTATATGTAACCATTGAAAAAATTATCCAATATATTTTATCTAAAGAACTAAGAGTATAGTTGTTGATGTTCTTCATTCTTGATAAACCATATCTGAATCTAATATACACATACACTCCTAAAAAACTTATTGATTGACTCACTTGATGATCAGCAAAAATAATATCACGTTGGACTGATATTAAAAATTTTCAAAAAGTTACACTATTTTAAGATACGATGTTTTAACGCATCTTGAGAACTTAGAAAATGTTGTTCCATTGGTTCTCAAATATATTTATTACATTTAAATTTTCATAATTATTAATACAAAACGTAAAAATAACCAAAAAAATTTTTCATCCACAACTTACATAATAATAATAAATCTTTATTAAATCTTTCATTTATTTACTCAATGTTTCCTTTGAATCAATTGCATGCTGACTACCAATTTTTGCAAATAACCAGGACCCGCTCATCCATTAAATAAGAAACCAATTCATTTGTATTTTTGGAGGAGCAATAGTGGTTTGATCTTCTTCCTTAAATGCTTTTATTGCACAAGTTACTTGTGTCTTGGTGCACCAGCAATGTCGCCTGCTTCCCAACATCTAATTATTCTTCCTTGTCTAAAGTCTGTTAATTTAGACGATTAAAAAAAAAAGTTTTGGTTAGATATTTCAGCCGTAATTGCCATTTAAAGTTGGTTCATGCTAGGTCTGGCCGCATAACCTAAATGAGCATTTGGCTAACTGATTAAACTATTTAGTCATTATGTTAAGTCAAATTTAGTCAAGACAACTATCACCAAATTAGGATTTTAACCCCTTTTCTGGTCCACGTATTACGCAACAAAAAATTCTTTTCCACTTTTGGCTTTTGATTAAATTACGTAGTAATTTAACTTATTCTAAAAAGCGGATATTTAATTTGAGTAGAGTAACATAATGATTTGATAATGATAATTATAAAAAATTCTACGTTTTGTAATTATGAAAATTTATATGTACAGTACACTCTCTCTATAACGGCCTTTTCTATAACGATCTACACTCTATAACGAACTGAAAATTGGAACCCAATTTTTTACTATACAAAAACCCTACTCTATAACGGTCTTCTTAATTAAATTTCTTATAGTGTATAACGGCCTGTCCCTGAAGTTTGCCTATATTAATATGTTTTACTGTCTATACATAACGGCCAACGATCATGATCTGAAACTATAATTGCTATATTAGGAAATTTTCTATACCACATCAAATAACTAGTTACTAATAACAACAATAAATCTGTCAAATATTATTATTATTTCACATACTTATTTCATATCTTTATAACATTACTTTATATATATACCATTATTACTTCTATCTATTATTGTAAATTATTCAAACATTTATCATCATTATTGCTTTCATGTTATACAGCGTGGGACAAAAAAAAAACGGAACCACCCCAATTTAAGTCCATTTACAATGTTTAAAATAGATAATGAAACACGAGATTAATTATTAAATTTTGATAATCTTTCACGTTTACTACTATTTTTACTTCTTTGAAAAACAACTCATGAAATGACAACCTCCAAGCAAGAAACTCAATGTCAAACCTTATTACATTTGTGTACAAGATGCTAAAGAAATACATAGAAGAACAAATATACCCCTCTCCACTATATATGATAACCTTAAAAAGCTCAAGAATTCAGGAACAACACAGTGTACACATGGTAACGGTTGGCCAAAGAAGATCACAGCAAATGCTTCAAGGGCATTAGGACAATATATTTGTAGGGATTCCTCTATTTCAACAAGAACTTTGGCAACAAAGTTATCAAATACAGGTATAGAGGTATCCTATAGAATTATTGGAAGGCATTTAAAACTTTTTCATCATCAAAATCTGGGATTGAGATTGTTTCATAAAGATCATGAAATTCACTGGTTGTAGTTTTATCCAAAAATGATACTTATATTAATACCATTATTATTATCAGAATTTTGAAATTAGTTTTAATTGGAAAAATTACACATTAATAGAAATCAGATTCAAACCGAATTCAACCTCTTTTTTTAAGAACCAATTATCCGTTTTCAAACTGGTTTATGGATTCAAACCAATTTGAGCCAAACCAGACTCAAACTCTACCCATTTTGTAGTAATCCAGAGTCCTAACAAGATTCACTGTAACAAGCTTTGATTGTGTACTAAGAAATTTTTATTAATGAAATAAAAATATATGCAATAATAATAGTAAATTCATTTCATTTTATCATATAAGAATCTTCCATTCTTGTTTGTGCTTTTTTTAAAGAACTTTTATAAGAAATTTCTCTTGAAACTTCTAATTACTTGAAAATCCGATATTCTAAATTTTTTTGTTGTACATATTAATATGTAACTTCCTCATTATTATACATATTAGGGTATTCAAAGCAGTTCTATTTTGTTTCTCGTTCCTTGCTGTACAATACTTATTAGGTAGTGGAAACCAAAATCAGTTTTGAGCAGAAAACTTCCTGGTTCCATAAACTTTATTATAGTGCTGGTTTACACAATAAAATTTATGCATTTTTTTACCAACATATAAAACTCATTGTTGACTTTTGTGTATAATTAATATAAATAATAATGATGCTGATGTTTGTCAGTATTAAGGAAAACCACACCTCTGAAGCTGGTCAAACAATCCATCTTTGTTGCTGATGATAATATTGATGTAAATTATTAATAGAGGAAGTTACCAGGAAAGTCATTGTAAACTGATTTATAATTCATTTCTGTTGGTAGGAATGTAATTGATTGGGTGATTCTATTTACATTTTTTCCAAAGCTTGGTAATTCATGGACTTTTAAAAAATTCTTTATAACTTGAGTAGTTAATATCTTATTAATTGTCATTTTTGTTTTCCATTGTGATATTCTTTTAGTATTACCATGAACTCTTGATATAAGACCATTATTTATTAAATTTCTAATATTTCAAAGTGATTCTCACAAATTCCAAGAAGTATATTATGATCCCAGCAGTAGACTGGTTTTCTTTTTAAGACATCTGCTCATGCTTATTACACCACCATCCATCAAAAATATGATTTGTCATTATTTAAAGAAAACTTGAAAGGATTCATGTAATTTGAAAATTCTTTTTAAGGAGCCATTGATGAGCAGCCCCACTTTTAAAAATCAATTGTTTTTATTTATTATCTTCCATTTACATATATTCAAAGTTTCATTTGATTTAAGATTTAAAATTACATGTTGGAAAATGAATGATTTTTGTAAAATAAAAACATCATAAAAGAATAAACAATATTTACATAAAATTATAAAAATAATTTTCGATTGATCCACCCATCTTTTTAAAAACCAATCTGAAACAAGTTCTTCGCCTCCTTTTCTTTAATTTCTCTCTTTTTCAATGACATCATCAATCAAGCGCTTTTTTACCCTAAACCATAAATTATTTGTTCTTTTTGTAAAAATGTATTTAAGCAAAATCATCAATTCTTGATGTGATCAATTGAACAAACAACTCCACCATCATCTTCTAACATACTTAGTTCACCACTTGGTTGATTCATACTTTTTTCTTTTTTAACACGATCTGATGCCTTTTATCAATACCTTTTGCAAGTAGAGACATAAATTAGTTTTGAACATATTCTAATACATCTTAATTACAAGTACAAGAAATCAAGCAAACTTACCTTCTAACTCTGATCTTATCATGGTGCGATTTACTTGGACATTGAGTTGATGTAGTAGTAACTCATGTTAATGTTACAGTGCAAGTGTTTGTATCCACCTATCCCATTCATTATCACTGCTTCTACTACTTCCTCGTCATCTTCCTCTTCTCCTTCCATAGAGTTATATTTTCTACTTGTTGAGCACCTAGTGATAGTTATATATCTTCTTGCATAGCATCATTATTCATTTCAATGATTTACATAACCCCAGAAATGTGGCAAATAACATTAACGACACCATTACCATCATTGGGTATATTTTTTTAAAAAAAATAGATTGTGATAAAACAAACTTTTACAAAATAATGGTAATGGATAGATATATTGATACTCCATAATTTGTATACATCAAAATTTTTACTGTGTATAGATTTCTTTTGGTTTTAATGATGTCAACATTAATATTTTTATAATCACTTTGTAAATTATTCATTAAAGCATTTACATATATCATCATCTTCTCCACTGTTGAAATTAGCAAATCAAATATGGTTCGCATACAACAATATCAAGAATTAGGAAATCATTTTGAATCGACAAATACTACAAATTGAGGTTAAATTAGGTTTCATTAAATTTCACTTTGTAGATATTTTGCCACGTAAAATCTAATAGGGAATCGGGCGATCCATGAAAAAGAAGAACCTTTTGGTTCTCTTATCAATCTTCACAAGTATTTTCATTCTGATTTTGATATTCTTATTGATAGTAACGTAGCCACAACCCAAAATGTGGCAAAGATGTTTACCGACAAAATAATTGTTTTGACTACAAAACTAATTGTCGTATCCGAGATAAAAATATTTATCATGTTAAAAGATAATGACTTTGAAAAAACAAAAATAGAATATAAGTTCCATGTCTTAATATGCACACATGTAAAAAGATTGAAGGTGAGTGGGCGAGTCTGTTTGATTATGATTAGTAATTACTTTAATATTTAGTGTAATAAAAAACAGTTTTTTAAATTATTTATTAATTTTTGATTTATATCATAGAGCTGATATTGTGGAATTTATAGTGAGGGCAAAAGACTAAATAAAAGTACAATTAATAATACATAAAAAAAAATTTTTGTTGGTAAAGTTGAGCATTTTTTTATTAAATTATTTCATTATTCACTTTTTATGTGTTATTGATGAGTGAATTGGTGCTTATATCCCAGTATTTGGTTCGAACCAGATGTTCGATTCAACTGGTATAATTGATCCGTAGATATCTGTCATCCATTCATTCGTCATTTACTTTTAAAAATTAACCCGTCATCCGGTATTTCTCAAAAAATATATTAATATCGATCGGATTGAATGTAAACGGTAACCCGATGATACTTTATTGTTGTTATTAAAAGATTGATTATTACCGTTAAATCACTTTTTTGTCGTTTCAACAATCTGATGATGTCTTGAGTATAAATGAGCAATCAAATTTCCTGTTGAGCCATCTGTTACACGACGTTTTTTACAATGTTTTCCGATTGTAATTAATACTTTTTTGCCGTTAGGAAAATATACTTTTACGAACCAATTCCACACCAACTTTTTTTGAAGTCGCACCTTTTTATTTATTTTAGCAACTTTAGTTCGTTTCTTAGGAATTACATTCAACACTTTTCAATCCGATTCTTCTTCTGAATTTATACAAGTAGGTTCACTTTCATTATCATCATCATTATAATTACAATCGTAAGTAATATTACAAATAAGCAGCAAATAAGGACAACGAAAATGAATCAGATAAAGATGATCATTCTATGTATATTGATATATTTTTTTTAAACGCTACAAAAATACAGTCGGCGCTCGATATAAGAAAGACAAAAAACTTCACTGTGTAGTGTGATTCATTATATAAAAAGATCGACAAAATTTTTTTACAAAAAATCCCGTGATATGACACAGATTCGATAAGTCAGCCCGCAGTAATCAATTGTTTAAAGTACTCAATAGTATAAATTATGCGGCTGACTTATCGAGTCTGTGTGTGTGTATTACCAAATTAATACTAATTAATTACTTATTTTTTGCGACACATTACCAAATTCAATTACTTTATTTTTCAGCACTATTAATAAATTTAATTACTCTATTTTTTGCGACACATTACTAAATTCAATTACTTTATTTTTCCGACACATTACTAAAATTCAATTACTTTATTTTTCGCGACACATTACTAAAATTCAATTACTTTATTTTTCAACACTATTACTAAATTTCATTCTTCATTTTCATTTTAAAATTTTTTTTGCCAAATTCATATTAATGTTAAATATTCATGAGAAAATTTTTTTGCGACAAAATTACCAATAAAATTTATTTATTTAACACAAATTAAATAATGATTAACGAATTTTTATAAAACTTCACTATACGATTATATCGGAGCTTTAGTTAATATAATGGGTACTTCACTATATGATTATATCGAGAGTTTATATTAAAAATCACTATATCGAGCAGAATTTATATGTAATGAAATGGGAAATTTTTCCAACTTCACTATATCGTACGATTTACTATATAATAGGTTCACCATATCGAGCGTCGACTGTACCGGGAAAACTCGAAAGTTGATTGGTTGATTTTTTCTGCTTAGGAAATAATTTACATAATTAACCAAAATGGGCTAGTCAGTACCCATATACCGTGATTTTTTCCTTATTTGGATTTAAATATTGACCCGAATTATAATGTCGCGGTCACCTTTCCCTCTTTTTTCGAATCATAGTGTTGGCGGTGACATTCAATATATAGAGTTTCGGCATTGCTGCAAAAAGTGAACATTTGTATCACAAAGAAGTTCGGGGTTTAACATCACCATTGTACCACCTAAACAATGATAAAGTGCAAAGTAATATGGAATTGTAAATGCAAAATCACAAGACAATTATAAAAATATTATTATGATACACGCATAATGGTTTACTTATGGAAATTAATTTATTAATTGAAGGTAGAATTCAATAACTTATTTTATAAGTGATTTTCCCAGTTAAAAAAAGAATTTAGATAATATTGTTAACATTCAGCAAGAATTAAAAGGGCAGGAGAATCTAAAACCAAAATATAATGCATGAATTACACAATAATAGTTTAGAGAAGACCAAATCAAGATGTATTAAAACCTTAGAGAAAAAACTCATGAACTTGATCAAAAATTTCGAATGACTAGAATACCAGCCAGTTTGAATTAAAGACACTTGCGGTAGCTACCATTACCGTAAATAGCTATTGGTAGCTACCATTTGCCGTAAATAATTCCGGCTGCCACAAGCAACCACAACCGCTGCAAATAGTTTTCAAGATTAATATAACTATTGTCATTATGATTGGCTGTCCATAATCCACAGATATGATAATTAATAATTAATATTAATATTAACTGTTAATATATGAGATTACAAATGTAAACCAAGTCTGTGGGTTATTTTCAAATTTTTTCACCGCTCACCTATTTTCTTGTCTCGATTAAACTGTTGTATAAAGGCTGGGTAAACTTTGCTTTCTGAGTTAAGTCATTAATTGAAATCACTTCTATTTAAACTGTCTCAATAATCTTAATTATTATTTTAACAATCTGACACATTTGATTTTTGATGCACAAATGCTTTGTAATAAATAATTTGATTTTGTTTGTTTACCAAAGTTGTAAAACTATTACGTCAAATTTGCTGCCGTTAAGTAAAATTGCTTCAAAGGCTAATGATTCAATTTTTATTTTAGCTAAAATTTTCTTGTTTCCACAAGTTGTTTCCCGAAGAACCAATTTTTTATTTTGCTGAATACAAATTCAGTTCCCACACACTCATTTACGAACATTCTTTATATTAATATTAGTAACATGACACATGATCGTGGTTGATAAAATCATCGTGTACTTTATGTTCCAGGGTCAAATAATTTTATACATATGAAAATTTTACGCAAAGCTTTTTATAATTATTATCAAATTATTGTGTAAATAATAATTATGGGAGTTTTTATAATATCAATAATGATTGATTAGGTCACTTTGCAGTAATAAACCTTTAATTTTCCATCTTTACCTTATTCTTATTGTAATGATCAACGAAAATTTATCAAGAATAACTTCTTGAAAAAGCAAGATCAACATCGGGTTTTTGTTTGAAAAACAGAGGAAATTAAATAAAACTCTGTGATAGAAATCCATTAATTTATTAATAAACAAGAATAGAAATAAAAAACGTCATCTTTATTTTCTTTGTTTAAAGCGCAACAAATGTAGTGTCTTTTATAAAAGGTAATAATAACAATTTGGTAAAAACCAAATTTTATTTGCTTTAGTGAGAAAGCAAGATTAGGAGGGTTTAAATAGTGAGTGTTAACAACGGTTAGTAATGTAATTTGCTTTAATTAGTAAACAAAGGTTAGGACTAACGTTTGTTAGTAATCGAGAACCAAAGTAAATTCGTAAACAATTAATTGACAAGCATCGAATTATTGTGCGTTTCTTGCAATTAACTGACAAGAGTAACCCAAAAGTCAAGCCATAATCATTCATACTTGTTAAAAAAATAATCGGTATTAACTGAAATGGTACCTCGCAATATTGTCGTTTAATCAAATAAATAAAATAAAAAAGATAAATAATTATAATGAATAAATTTATAGTGGAGATTAAATTAATCGTTTAATCAATTCTTTCGTTTACTATCATTACTATCAATCAAATGTAAATAAAAAATATTGCTAGTAATAATTAATGAATAGTAATTAATTAATAATGAAATTTTTAACATTTTAGAGAAAAGAGTACTATTATTTGTATAACCTAACCTTTTAAGCTTTAGATTTAGCAATCTCTTATATTCTACTTTTGTGAACACGCATCTGGGTGTGATTTAACCACCGACAATACTACTATTGATGATATTATTATTATGAATTTTGTTATGTTTATTAATAGCAAATTCATCAGGCTCATTGATAGTTTATCTTTTATATGGATCTACATCCCATCATTTGTACTGTAATATTGGTGGTTGTAATTTTTCACATATATCAAAAATGACCTGCGAATATTTTCCACATTAACATCCACAACCTTCACAGAATCCATCAGAATATCTTGTCAGTTTACAATTGTTGCATTCTTTTGGCTTGCCTTCTTTATTTTTTACACTTCTTAATTCAAAATCATAAATAAACCTTTCTTACAAAATTCATTTTCATTTTCAGAAAGTTCCTTGTTTTTGTTGACTACTAATGAAAAAAATAATCTTTTTCATTTTCTTCATCAGAATTAACTATAGCATTAATTTTATATACAATTTTTTTCTTTCTGGTTGTATTTAATGATAATAATTTATTATATGACATTATATAAAATAATATAACAATATAAAATATGAATGGAGTGGAGAAAATAAGGTTTTTCTTTGTGGAGAATTGAATAGCATGTAACAAACAATTCTAAATAAAATTTTCTTATAGGATTTTTCATTGATAATGTGAGTGAAACCCAGCCACAATCCATGTGATATTTACTGTTTGTCTTCTAAAGAGGTCTTAAAACAGAGGATCAGCATTGGTAATTATATTAAAGAAGCAATATTAAACTTGATATTAGTAATTGATAATAGGAAGTAATCTAATTATTTTAATTTTTCTTTTTTAGCATTTGCCTTTATATTGGGAAAGAAAGATATGAAAATAGGAAAATTACATAACTTAATGAACTTAAAAATAAACATGATAAAGATGGAATAAATTGGAAAATATAAACTTTATTTGTTGGTGATTGGAATCTCAAATGTAGATCCCCCGCAATAAGCATATAGTGTAACAAAGGGGTTACTGATCACGAATACTCTTACCACACCTACCTCAGTTACATGAATCCCCCATGATTGGTAGAAAATAAGGAAATCTTATCTTAACAAAACTTGTTATGTAACCGAGGTAGGTGTGGTAAGAGTTTTCACTGATCACTTTCACAAATCCTGGGAACTTATTGGTTGGGAGACAGAATGTTATGGGTGTACAAAGTAGTTGGATTTGGACAGCATTCATAATTGGAAGATTATGTACATTGTAATGGGCTTAAATGCTCCTAATTCTATTATACTGTAATTGTGGATTTGATAGATGTCAATTAAAATTTTGAAAATATTGGCAATAATTCATATTAGTTTTTCCTTTAATAATTATTGTTGTTGTTTTAAATCAAAAAATTTACTTGAGCAAAACAAAAAAACTGAAATATTTCATGATCATTCAAAAAAGATTATATACCTGATGAATTACATTTTATTTTTGCATATTGTGTATTGATAGAACACAATATAAAAGTTCATTTTGAATTTTTTCAAATCTAAATTAATGGAGATAAATGGAACTGGGCTTCTTTAATGAGCGGGTCCTGGTAAGAAAAAGATATTTGAAAACTTTACAGTTTGTAAATTTGTTCCTGGTACTTATTGAGAAAATATTGAAAGGCTGCGGAAAGAATTTTTTAGACTTTATATGATTTTATGTAAGCCACTACTTTCAGATAAAGAGATTGATGAGTTTGAAGTTGATTTTATAAACTGGACTTGCTCACTTTATAAAAGCATGTTATATGGAAAGCTTGTTTTTTAGCCAACAAATTCACCAATTCATGCATCAACTAAAAGAAAAAAATCTCACATTAAAGATTTTCTCTACATCTAGTATTGAAAAAAAAATCACCAACAGGTAATTTAGTCAAATTTTATTTAAAATATAATAGTCTACATGCTAATTATTTAAAAATTTGATTTTAGGTGAAGCTTTTTTTTTAGAAGAACCAAAATGGGAGGTGGAATTGAAAAACCAGCAGCTTATTAGATAACGTCATTTGAAAACAGGCAGGTATCTCATTTTATTAACAAAATTCCAAAAAAATATCACACAACAAAAAATATTATAATCGAGGGTCTGTCCAATAGCAGATCTGATATAATAATAAATTGATTTCATATTATACATATAGGGTAGGGTTGTTAATGGAACATAATGGGTGGGTTGAGTTTATATTATAGTGGAGCAAGGGTTAACCTAACCTAACCCAACCCGGGTTAAATGTACTGGGTTAATACTCCATGGGTTGCTTCGGGTTACTCCGGGTAGCTCCATGGAGTAATAATTATAATAAAAAAAAATTTATACATATTATACAAATATGTAATAATTTCTTATATTCTTTTGAAAAAAATTCCCAAACACAAGAAGTTTCGCGTAAAGTATTTGATGAATTAGATTCATTTTCTTGTATAGTATTAGTTGTACTTGTAGTAGCTGTACTTGTAGTAGTTATAGTTGTAGGAGTAGTAATTAAACTTTCATTATCTTCTTGACTAAAAATCAAATTAATCTCACTTTCTTCTCTATTTATATTTAATAATGATTCACCTGATGGTTCAGGCTCACTATCTGAAAGTATTTCATATAAATTTTCATAAATTTTCATGATAAAATTCGCGAACAAAGAAATCAAAATTAACAAATTAATAACTAAAATAGTTTGGAGCAACCCGGGTTATAATAAAATATTTTGCCCCAGGTTAGTACAAAAAATTAGAAATCTTATGATGGAGTGATACATAACCCGGGTTGATGCCAGAACATTATGCTCCATTTAACAACCCTAAATATAGGGGTAATTCTATATTATAAGAGGACATGATTATTATAAACCGTTATTATTATAGTAATAGTTAAAAATTATAATTATAATTGTGATGATAATGATCAATGTAATTCTTGGTAATACAAATGTTCACTTTTGTCTGGTTTTGTTACAATATGTCCCTTTTTAAAAGTTTATTCACATAAATTTTAAAATTTTTTATCTGCAATCTTAACATTATAGTTTAAAAGCTATACGGATTTTTTAACGGATATCCGAATTGATCATCCTAATCCACGGATTGCATCTCTTAGTATTAGTATTAGCATATGAATAATAGAAGTTCATCAAGACTTCTATTAAAGAGCTATGACAATGTGATAGCGGATGCACGGGGTACATAACAATAATAATAAGAAAATTTCATTTAAAATACGCTATGCCAAATACAGAATTACCAATACTAATGTCACACAGTTTTATTTATTATGTGAACTTGACATTAATATATTAATTATATGTTTTTGTAAACTCCGAAAAATCAATTCGTTAGTCGCTTTTTTTTATGAAAAAATTACATTTATATATCCACACACACGTACATTATTTCAATAATAACAATAAAAAAACTTTTTTTTCTATTAAAACGAAACAAGCATGAAAACAGTATTTCTATTGATGCAACAATGATGGTGGTTATTCAACTTCTAATAGATAGATAAAATACTAATTATTCATGGTGTCAATGTGGTGTCAAACCATGTGCTCCACAACTATGAATTGAAGAATGGACTAGTGACAATGAACAATAGGAGAGTTGATTGAAAACATATAGCCTAAAGCAACGAGATATGATAATCAAATATTATTTATCTTGAATGGATTACTTGTTAAACAAATATTGAAAAGATAGGCGAAGGTGGATTTGCAACGACATACAGAGCTAGTTGGTAATGTATTGAGGCATTATGTAACTCTGATATTCATTTCAGAATTTTTTCATAATAAATAATGTATGATTCGAATTTATGTGACTAATCCGAGATTCGATATATATATATATATATTTGTAATGAAATACAAGTAAGTCATCGATTTTAATATTAAATGGAATGACAAAATTCGAAATTCTCGTATTGATTGATTAGTATTAGTATCGATGATTCATAAATCATCATGTGGCTCAATAAAAAAAAATTTTTTTTATTTTATATGAATGGATGAAATAAATTTCGATCGTTCAACGCTTTTTGCGACAATCACCACAAATGTTGTTTATTGAGAATCTTCTGCAATTATTGGTTGGTAACTATAATAAATATTTATTCTTAAGTGAAAGGGAGAGTTTTGTAAATTCTCACAGCACAGATGAAATTTTGCCCAATTAAAATATACTTTGTTTACACACACGATTATCATCGATTCGGTGATGTGGTCTCATCAAATTAAGTAATAAATAAACGTAAATAATAATAATACACAATTACTTTTTTTGTTTTTGGTTATAACGTTTTCTTAACCAGTAAGATATATAATTTTTTGTATTTTTATTCATTTTATGTATTTTTAAAAATTTTTTTAAAATTTTTTTTTTTTTTAAAAAAAATAATAAAAATTCTCGTGTTTTTAGAAATATATAACAAAAAAAAAATTATATGTATCTATATAATTTTTTTCTATATGTACAAAGATAAATTTTTGGAACAAAATTTTTTAAAAAAATAAAAATATTTACAAAGAAAATGTGAACGGGAATTTTTTAGGTTCTCTTAATTAAATGGATGATGTTTAAAATCTTAATTTTTATATATATATATAGATTATGTGGTGTGAAGTGAGTAAATATAAATTATAACTATATATATATATATAAAATCTTAAATTTTTAAATTGTGATGGATTAAATAATTTAAAAACTAAAAAAATAAAAAAAAAACTCCGTGAAAAAAAAAATTTAAAATAAAAATTTCGAGTTTGTTTGTGTTTGTGATTTCTTTTTGTGAAAATAAAAAAAACGAAAAAAAAAATAAATTAAAAAACGAATTTAAAAAATAAAATAAAAAATAGTACAAATGAAAGTAGGGAATTATCTTTATATCTATTTATAAAAAAGTATAGATATAAAGATTGTAATATTTTAATTTTTTTTAAAAAAAAATAAATATTAAAAAAAAAAAAAAACAAAAAAATTCTTTTGACGATTTTGATTTTTTATCGAGAGAAAAAAAAGAAAAAAAAAAGAAAAATAAAAAATAAAAATAATTTTACTGTTATTATCATTCTAATTATTATTATTATTAAATAATAATAAAATGATTACCAATGTTTTTGTTTTCTAGTATGAGTAACAAATAGTTTGATGATTTTCTAAATGAAGTAGATGATGATTATTGCATTTTAAATTGTTGTGGTTGATGTCATTATAAATGTCATTTTTATTATTAATATAATGATTATTGTCATCATCATTAATGTCATCATCATTAATGTCATCATCAATGATAATATTGTATTTACTATTCATTAAATCAGGATCATCAGAATTACTATTTGCCAGTGTAGACATCGAAGATGAAGAGCCTGCAGAAGTAATTGGATACTGCTGTTGTTGATCTTGGTGATGATGCTGCTGAATATTCCCAATGTCGTCGTCAATATCACAGATCTTGTTGTTGTTGTTGTCACGAGTATTAACAAGGCCTTCAACCTCTAAAAAGTCAAACTCAATGTTAAAGTCCATTTCTGATAAGGAATAGTACGAAGAACAGGCCGTAAGTGACGACGAATTTGAAGCAATAGAAGAGGAAGAAGAATCATCTCTATGATTATTTTGCTTATCAATAAGATCATAATTGCCCTCAATTTCATCTTCATCAACATCATCATTATTACCAAACAAATCTTCATCTTGATCTTGCTCATCATCAAGTTTCCTTTCTTCTTCACAACACTCTTCTTCTTCTTCTTCTTCTTCTTCTTCTTCTTCATTGACATTCTCAATCTCACATTTACGTAAATTCTTATCATAGAACACATCATATTCTGAAGTGGTGAATTTACGACAAGCAAGTACACGATCACGTAAATCATCCAAGGAAATACGTCTGTCAGGATCCAATGAAAAAATATCTTTCAAGAGTTCGTTAAGCTCGTTTGTCAATGGTAAAATTGTTTTTAGGAAATCTGGATCTCTCAAGAACACCGAGAAAGTTTCATCACGTAAACAAGCTTGTTTCCAAGGATTACGACCACAAGTAAGATTGATTAAAATTACACCCAGAGACCAAACATCATTTGGAGCAGTTTTGTAACCCCTTACACGTTTGTACAATCCACCTTGACATTCTAAATTTTGTAGGAGAAAGAATTAATTAATTAATTTGATGAATGAGTATGGATGGGATAAATATGGATGGTTGAATAGAAATGATTTTTTTTTTTTTTTAGATAATTACCTGGACTCATATAAAATGTAGAACCACAACCGAAATCCTTTGACCATGAATCATTTGTAGCCAAGCCAAAATCAGCAAGCTTGACGGTTTTTCCATTATCAAAGACCAAAATATTTTCTGGTTTCAAATCACGATGATAAATTCCATGAAGATGACTAAATTTCACGGCGTCAAGAATTTGGACAAAAACTTTTTTAATAAGCCTATCATTGTTAATATAGCCACCTTTCTCTGTGATCATGGAAAACAAATCGCCATCCTGACAAAATTCCATTATCATGTTTACACTGTCATGAGTTTCTACCACTTTCTCTAGTCTAATTATATTTGGGTGACCTGAAACTTGTGAGTGAAAATTAATTTCTGCTGTTTGAAGTTTTTGTTGTTTCAAAATATGATTATGGTTAATATGATCTTGTTGAGGTTGTTGTTTTGGAATACATTTGACTGCATAAAGGCGTCTATTTTTGACATGTCTGGCACCGTATACTACACCGTATGCACCTACTCCAAGTATATGAGTTAGTTCTAGTAACCCATTATCAATAAATTTTCCAATACGTTCTGCTGGATCAAAATAATTTGTATCGTTTAAAGTCATTTTTTGTCAAATGTAAAAAAAATTCTTGAAGAAGAGAGAGGGAGAGAAGGTTGGAAAAGATGATGAATAATTTATTTTAATAATATTCAAAAAAGAGAATATTTTTTATTAATATACATATATATATATAGAGGTATATAATTTTACGAACAAAAAAATAATATTTAATATTAATATTATTTGTTTTATTATTATTATTATTAATTTTTTAGCGTTTTATTTTTTCGAGAGAAAACGACTAAATTTTGATGTAGAATAAAAAAATTAATTTTCCAGAGAAAAGACGATTATATTTATATATTTATGTTATATATGTGTGTTAAATAAAAATTAATATAAATTATATATTTTTTAAATTAAAGTTTTGAGCGCGTGAATGTGTCAAGAACAATAGGAGCAACAAGAAATTAAAATAATAGTATATTTTAATACTAAATATTTATATATATGCAAATAAACGTATATCCTACATAAAGGTTATATAAATTTGTGCAATAATATTGAATTATCTATGATATATGACGGACTGACGATGATGACGTATTATTGATGATTTGTGTGTGGAGGAATTATAAAAATTATGAGAAATATATTTTTTTTTATTAAGAAAAGAATATTTTATTAGAGTAGTAGAGTGAGATGAAAGAGAAGAAAGAATATATCAATCAAAAGGATATTTTTAATATTATTATTATTAACATTTAAGTATAGACGGAATAAAAAAATATATTTCACGTATAAAATAAAAAAAAGTAGCTCTGATTGATAAAAAAAAAATAAATGGATGCAATGTAAGGTTGTAGGTGTTACACAACGACACCATATATAATCAATCATAATGAAGTGGTGTAACTAACTGTTTTTTTTCAATGATGATAATTATAACAATCACCCCTAAAACTTAACTAACTTTATTATTATCTATATATATATTATAATGGGTTACAATTACCCTCAAAAAAAAATATTTTTTTTTTACTAAAAAAAAAAGAAAGGAGGTTAAATTAAGATAATTAAGATAGATTTTCCAACTTAAATTTTGAGTTAATAACAGATTTATCAGGCAATAAGGTTGATCCTTGATTCAAGAAAATAGTGGTGTGAGAGAGTGAAGAGAGTGAAGAGAGTGAAAAAATGGTGAGAGTCAGAGTGAAAAGTGAAAAGTGAAAAAGTAAAGAATCTACATTTTCCTTGTTTGATTTTATATATATATTGAAATTACCCAATTGCCATATATTATTATAATTGTAACTTATTAATAATAAACAAAAAAAATTTTTTTTTAATTTATACATTTTAAAACAAAATATTAAAAGGAACTACTTATCTCTCTCTCTCTCTCTCTCTCCCCCAATACTGAATAGCCTATTATTATCTAACCATTTATTAATTAGTTCGCCGATAATAAGGAACTAGATGGAAATAGATGGAATTGCAATAATGAATGATAAAGAAAAGAAAGGGAGGGAAAAAATAAGTAAATTAAATTTTTTTTAAATTAAATTAAAAAACATATTTGCTAATTGTTACTACTATTATTAAATGTTGTTATATAATAAATAATAAATAAATAAATAAATAATAATAATAATAAACAAACAATGTGGGGTAAAAACATAATAATAATAATAATAATAGTAATAATATACATACATGTAGTGAAATAATGAACATTCATATTTAGCATCAGGTGAGAAAACAAAAAATAGTTCCAAATTTCTGTTTATTGGACTCAATAAAGTGTTGTGCTGGTAAAAAATAGTTGATGGATGATGATGGTTAAAGATGAATTGTTTGCTAGACAAATAATGAATTAACAAGATCTATTGATTAATTAATTAAAGAATGTGGAATATAATATTTAATTTATTTATTTATTATTTCCAGCTTTTGTTCCAGTTTTAATTTCCGTTATATTTAGTAAATAATTACAGAAACCTTTTGGTGGTGTGTTTGTGTATAATTACTTACTTTGGACAAAGATTATAATTAATAAAAAAAAGTCAAATTTAAAATTAGTTGAATGAGTGAGTGAATGAAGCTTTTTTTATTCCTTGAACAAAAAATAAAAAAAGATCATAAGCAAAAAAAGATCATTGATAAAAAAAATTATCAATTATTATATTAGTTATATGAATCTACACATAGCATATACAGCACAACAACACATACATACATGCACACGCACGTACATAAAAAAAACCAAAAATTTAATTCCTCGAAAACGGAAAAAAAATAAAGATTTATTTGGACTATGTATTTATTAATTTAATTATGCTTGCTTACTATATATATAATAATTATTAATAATTCTACTTTAATTAATTAGCCAAAGCAACTTCCATATCTATAAAAAAGCAAAAGCAACATACCATCCTAACTCATTGACCAACTCATTACCTAATTCTTTTGATCTACGCATATATATATACAAGCATATACATTATTACTTCTTTATCTATAATCTGTATATGAACATGAAAATCATACATTTAAGTATGCAACTAAAAATAATTTTAATTATTATTATTGGGAAATAAGGAAAGGAATAAAGCGAATTTGTTTGACATCCTTCACATATTCATAATCATAATAATAATCATAAATAATAATTGTAATGGTTGTAAATTAGTTAGCTTATAATCCTAATTTCATAATTCTCCTTTCCAATTTCCCATTTTTTTCTATTTACAGACTGTCAGACCCTTTTGTTTCAATTAATATACCAAATACTGTGTTATAATGTGTGTATTATTGTATTATTATAACAACAACAACAACAACTGTTAAACGAATAAAGATACTTTATTTACTTTTTTTTTTTTAAAAAAAATTTCTATCAATCTGTCAATCAATCTAAAAGAAATATTTTTTTTAATTCCTATGTATGGATTCTTTTTATTTAATATATATGCATTATATGCGTGTATATATGCGTGTATATATGCATTATTCATATATGTATATCAAAAATATGATCAACAAGAATCCATTGTTTTAAAAAAAAAAAATAGCTGTAAAAAAATTGAGTTTGCGATTTATAACGATAAAGTGATGACATAGTTGACATAGATGACATAGTCTACAATTAAAAAATTAGAAATCGGTTTTTTTTAATAAAACAATTTCGTCAAGTAATCAGATAATCAACAACCCGGGGCCAACAACTAATAATATTACACCACATTACACCACATTACATCGTTTTTATTGGTTTATTTCTTGTTTAGATTCCAGAAATTGAATTCAATAGTTTTTAGTATTAAAAAAATTCAATTAATTCAGGCCGAATAAGATTAAAAGCATCCCTTAAATTTTGGGTATTCCGGTATCATTTTTGTTAACCAACTTGTTTAAAATCCAGTATTTTTAAAATTAAAACATTCACACACTCACGATTATCACTTTAAAAAGAGTGTAACAAGATATGCGAACGAGTAATTTTTTATAACGGCGGGAAGGAGAGTGGAGAAGGAGGGGAAGGATCACAGTGTAAAACCATCAATCAAAATCAAACAAATCAAATTTTGGTAAAAATTAAATTTGATGTGATTTGTGTTTGTTGTTATTATTATTATTATTATTTATCAATAATAAACCGATATAAAAAATAATAAACGCCACACCACCAGAGTTTGGTGGGAAAATTTTAATTTTAATTCCACTGTGTTTATTGAAATTTCTGTTATGGTAATAATTATTAGTAAATGACAATAATAAGCAATAATGCGTAATGATAATATTAATTATTAACAATCCCAATAATTTGTTTGCACTAACAATTAAGTCAATGAAGAAATTGACATTAATTTTTACAGTGATACAAATATAACATGTATAACAACGCATATAACTTAATATTAATATTATTAATGTTATTAATTTAATAAATAAATATATTAATACAATGAACGCAAATCTTCAATAATCAAACAACCTTTAATTTTAAGCATACGCATCTGCAATCTTCTGGATTTTCTCGTCTTTATTGACGAATTTCTCGAGATGAAAAAACACTTTTCTGGTAATCCATAAAATTAAAATATTTATGGATCGATTTATGCATTTATCGTTTCGTGTCCCTCTCCAGTTTGCTGATATGCATATTTGGCTTTAGTTATTTATGTTTCATCTTTCTTCCTTCCCATCTAACCAGTGTAAATAATTCCAAATTAAAGCTTATACAAATTTCCCACGTGAAATAGAAAATCAAAAAAACACGTAAAATCCATGGTATATATGGATCATAATGGACTCATAGTAACTCTCTCAAACTGTTCCGATTTTGCGTATATCATTACTTAAATGACTTTTATTGAATTCAATAAGAATATTTTAAGAGAACAAACAAATATGCAATCAATTTATTATCAATGCATTTACAATTGTCAATTTAATATTAAAGAATTATGATGTTTATGATGTTATTAAATTTCTAATTTTGTACCTTTTGATGAAAAAAAAATTTTAAAAAAGCATTTGAAAACATGCATTTAATTAAAATCTACTCATAAATCAATAACTGACCAATTAATTATGTATACACGTAAAAAATCACGTAGAAAATAATCACGATCGATTGACGTTTATTTTCTTCCAAAGAAAGAAATAATCGGTACGTCGCACTTTTGCCTTTTTACAATAATAATAATGCTTGATTTATTTTTTTAATAGGCAATGAAATTTTGAAAATTGATAAATAAATATTACTCTTTGCACAATTATATCTTATATCTACTTGTACTGTAGCTTTGCAGCATATTCTTGGAGAAGGTATTACTTTTGCATGTACATAAGTTAAATGATACAAATATTTAATCGTTCAGTTTTAACAATAGGTCCTTTTATATGAAATCGTCCTTTAGATTTTCGCCTAATGGTAATAATACCTCGGAACATTCAAAACGACCAAAAATTTGCTGGCTTGACTTTTATTCTCAATTGGCGAAAGTTCATGAGTTAAGCGAAGCCAATTGTTTCACATAATGTGATTAGTATTTAGTTCACACGCACGAAAAACCTCGCACGAGCAAACGTATTCATCTTGTAATCAAAAACATTCATGGACAAATAGGATGTGGACAGTGGAAAGATGGAATTTCGATTTTGAGGTAATAATGCAGTCATTTGCGATTTGGAATTTTTAAGAAATATACCCGATAAAATTTGAGATATTTTACAAAGTTTCAAATCAATCAATTTTCCCCTTTAACGTGACATATCTTTAAATAACAATATTATTTTATTTATTCCGTAGGCTTTTTTTCATATACCAGCATTGATTGATATTTAAAGATCGATCGTTATGCTGATCCCTTATGCGAAGGCCATACTATTGCCCTAGAGTGAGTGGTAGAGCAAATTTTAAAGCCATTGTTAAAAATTCATTATAAAGTTACTATTTAAACTTAGACTGTGTAGAGTAAGGAGGCGAGCGTCAGCATTTTCCAAGTTTTGATCTTCCATCTTGTGCAATAAATATTAGAATTATTTCTTTATAAAATTTAGTATTATTCAAATCAGATTGATCGCGAATAGATCCAGGTTCGTTATAAATGCAAATTTGCATTAGTATTTATTATCTTTATCATTATCATTATTTGTCTGGGTGACCAAGGGATCCCGAGCGAGAATTGTTATCAATTCGTGTAACAATAGATAAATAAGTCTATTTATATAAATAAGAAAGTTTACACCAACAAAAATTTTTCCTCACTCCTTTTTTTTCAAAATGTTATCAACAATACCTTATGATTGTATTGAAAATATCTTTGGATACTTGGATTATAAGAACAAAGGATCACTTTATTCGTGTAGTTTGGTTAACAAATATCTGTGTGAGGTTGCTATACCATTCATATGGGAAGATCCATTCTATTCGGTGAAAAGCACCAGAATATTAATCAACTGTTTATCAAAGGAATCAAAAAAACTTTTAGAAGCCAAAAATATTGACTTTACATTCAATCTATTGGAAAAACCCACTTTACACAACTACGCAATGTTTGCTAAAACATTATTTATTTATAGTTTTAATGGGTTTAATGAGTTGATCAAAGGATGTAGTAATGATCACAAATTGAAAAAGCTGAAACTGTTGATTATCGAGTTGTTGAAGTTGATTATCAAACATTCAAGAATCAAATCATTACATTCAACATTTCTAGACAATTTTGCTTCTTTAAATCAAACACCTAGATTTCATGATTGTTTTTTAAATCTTTCCAGTTTATATTGTTCTGATAAAGAAAATCCATCTTTTTTTTATCAGCTGGCACAAGTTTCTAGAAATATTCAGTTACTATATATTAAAATTCTCAATCCTTCCGTTTTTGATCCTTCTTCTTCTGCCACTAACAATGACAACGATGGGTTAATTCAATTAATCAGAGTGCAAAATAATATTAAAAATATATATATAAAAGTAATTAACAAAGCTTTATTATCATATGGAATCGTAGATGCGCTATTAACACATCAGAGTTCATCAATAGACTATTATGATGACATATGCAACGATAGAAATTATTTTATAAAAAGACTCTACAACAATTTAGAATCATTTTACCTGACTGACTTTTGTCTGAAAAATCGCTACAACAAAAATAATATAATAAGGAGGTTAAGCAATAAAAACATTTATGATGATAATGATAACAATAATAATAAAAATAGTATTATTACTGCTGATTCATCATCATCATCATCATCATCACCATCATCATCATCATCGTCGTCGTCGTCGTCGTCGTCGTCGTCGTTATCATCATCTTTGCCTTTATCTTTTCCAAATCTTAAAAAATTATCTATTCATACCTTCTTTCGAACTTATATATTAGAGACTTGTGATTTTATTGGTATAAATGGAAAAACTCTTCAGATCCTAATTATTAAAAGTGAAAGGCTTGAGGAACAAAGTGTCAGAAGAACATTACAAGCAATTGGTGATAACTGTTACAATTTAAAAACTTTATCAATATCATATAATAATAATTTATCTTATGAGTTGAGCAAGATGATAGAACGTTGTAATAGATTAGAAAAAATAGCGTTGGATATAATTTACTATGAAGATGAAATTTTGGATTGTGATAAAGTATTTAATGTTTTAAGTCGAATATTATTACCAACAAATTTAAAATTAATTGTTTTTTGGGGAGAAGTTTCTTTATCCAACCACAACCGGTCACTAGATAAGTTAATAAAGAACTGGAAAAATTTTTGGAAAAACGAAGGACCTCTTTGTATCAAATTTTATAAAGATACGTTTATTGATCAGTCCATACTTGATAATTATCAAAATCTAAGGTGTATGAAAATCGAATTTGTAGATAACAACTTTGATTCTTTAGATTGGTTTGATGATGATGTGTCATGACAATAATATTAAAGTGAGATAACGGAAATTAAATCGTATGATAAAAAAAATAAATATAAAATTTAGCATGGGAAAAAATATAAAAAAATAACCTGATGTTTTTAATTTGTATTTTTATGAAAAACAATGCATGCATATCGCGTGACTTTTAACAAAAAAAATGTGGGAAAAAAAAAAAATAACGGCATATATAAAAAACTCGAATTTCTGGGAAAAAAAAAAAAAATAAGTTTTTTTAAAAACAAAAACAATTAAAACAATTTTAAAACAATTAAAACAATTTAAATAAAATGATTAAAGAACAAATCCATACTGATAAAAACATACAGCAATGTGAATTTGTTCCTAATGATCCGTTTTTTGATATCGAACAAAATGCCATGGAGATTTTTGAAAGTGGTAATTATTTATCATTATTATTATTATTATTTTATTTTTTTATAATTAATTTATTATACTTAACACATACACACACTCAAAAAAAAATTTTTTTTAGTCCCAAGTAAGAAACAACGTAGTAGGAGTATTAGTGAATTAATACCGAATGATCCGTATAGGACCATTGAACTTCATTGTGAAGAAATTTTTGAACCGCGTCAAAGGAAAAGAAGCAATAGCGAGTTGATTCCTAATGATCCTTTAAGAAGTATTGAAATTCATGCACCAGAAATTTTCGATGTTAATGCTAAAATTCAAAGAGAAGAGGAGGATCCTTTTAAAAAAATTGAAATATACGCCGAAAAAATTTTTCAATAATCTTGATAATCTTTTTATATTGATATATCTTTTTTTCATTTTATTTTTTTTTTCATTTTACTTTTTTTTCATTTTTTATTTTTTCACAAAGATGTGATGTAATAGTCCCGACTTAATATTAATAATATATTTTTAGCCACAAATTTTTTTAATGTAAATAAAGTTGGTAAAAATTTTTGGTTATTAAATCACATGACCGGTCAGTTGAATATTTATTTTATCACTCAGTAGTAAGTTTTTAGGTTAACATGTTTGGTTATTGAGCCTATATATACGTTTTAAATATTACATATTATTTATTATGTGACCTTTTTAATTTAATTAGGCACCAATATCGAGATTTTGGCATAATTTTATTACAACAGTGTTTATTCAAATTGTAATAATAATGGGTAGAGGTGACTCCTTATACAAGAGTGACCGAAGACCCTGGTCGTTTTAGAGTTGATGATGGTCTCTTTGTTTTGTATTTGCTGCGCCGCGATATTAAACGGGACAATGGATGACCCACGGTTTCTTCCACAAAAAAAAAGAAATGGCTTACGAAGAGCATTCATTATCTCTTCCAGTCGCAACACACTGGAATTCATACAACTTATGAATTTAGAGTCATTTCTATATATATTTATTTTATTTCTAGCCATGTTAAATTGCAGAAAGATGTCTATATCATTTAGATCCATTTTTAAAAAGTTGTTGTGTTTCTTCTAATTTTGGCTCAGAAATTATTTATGACTTCTCAAAATGACTTTAATACAATTTTCCGTTCAGCTTTTGATAGTGTTCCTCCTATTCATATATATTATTCAAATATTTGAAATTTATGGAAATGATATTGATATTAATATTTGATTCTTATTCAAATAATACTTTTACTTTGGATATCATGATCTTTTTTTTTTATAATTAGACAAGAATATCCTCGAGTAACTAATTATAAATGTGAAATATTTACCCCAAAATCATTTTTAAAAAAAAAGATTCAGTATAACGAATGAACGGGACACAAAGAAAATTTTATTCCAAATCCGTTGTGACAAGAATTTAATTATAGTCCGCTGTGACAAGGGTACTTTTCCTGGTTGCAATAAACTCTCATAAACTACATCTACATCAGGATTGTCAGTATAATGACTTTCACTTAAAACATTAGCTATTCATTGTCTAACTTCTTTGTTATTCAACTATTTAAATTGTAATAGTACTATTAATTGTTCAATTTCTTGCTCTTTATCAGCTAATTGCCTTTTCAATGTTTCATTTTCATTTAATAATTCTTTATTTTAGAGTTTCTATTCATAGTACTAATATAGTCAATCTTTAAGTTGAATTAAAAAATCTATTTGAATTATTTGTTATATTCAAATTAAAAAATTTATTCATTTTATTTGAATTATTTGAATTATTCAAATTACTAGTTTATTAATTTTATAAAATATAAGTCTTATTTCTTTAACAAGATAATATAAACAATAATTATATTTATAATCTATATTACTACTATAATTGCTAGTATTATGACTTGAAGAAAATGTCAGCTACTACTATTTATTATTATCACTATATTCAAGGACTAAGGAAAAATAGAATTAAAATTTATTAGTTTTGTTCAAATAAACTTTCAATGTAATTTGAATACTCAAATTCATAACGAATAAAACAAATAATTTGAATAAACCTTATTCAAATAGAATCCCTACTCTATTGTTCATTTATAATGTTTACTATGATTTTTTTTTAATTATATTCTTCGATTTTTAATAAATACTTAATATCTTTCTTTTTATAAAAGCATTTTTGGCATAATTCTTCTAAATCACCTTCAATATTAAGTATATAATTATTTTATTAGTTTATTTTTAAATTTTCTATTCATTGTCAACATAAATTGGTTTTGGACAAGTAATATCTTTAAATTCATCCCTTACAAATGGACAAATATTGTTATAAGGTATCCTTGCCTTTTATAATCCAAAGGAGGTGATGTTAACATTAAAATAGATAAAGATTTAATTTCTTCAAAGACATCTGCTTTCTTGATTTTCAATAAATTGAATTCAGATCCATTAGCAACTCCTTTGAACTTTCAATGTACCAAGATTAGATGCTTCAAAAAGAAAATTTTGATACTTCTGTATAATTGGCAATTTCTTAAAATAAATTCCCAAAATTGGTTTGATGTCCAAGTACTGAAAACCTTTCCACCTTCATAACACTGGGTTTTATTTAATCCATCTGAACTAGATCTTTTCACAATATCAACCACATGGTCTAGACAATCTACACTTGTTCTTCTGTAGAGTTTTTTAATCAATCCAAAACTACCATTACATTTGAATTTTGTTATATCCTACTGTAATGAGCAGTGGCATCAATACTGCAATATGGTGTTTTACCCTTTGAATAATGTTGATCAACTAGTTTCCTTTGTTCTTCAGCCAATTTAGTATTTTTATTATTATAATAATTTCTTTCTAATCTTGTCTTGGACAGATGTTCTTTAAATCTTTTGAATAAATCTTTAGCTTCTTCTTCTTGGTGAGCATTGTAATGCAAACCATTTCAAAAATGTTGACAAGTAACATACAAGTCAGTTCTTAGACTCATAATTTGAATCTCTGGTATCAATTGATGTCATAATTTTCTGAAGGCATCATACTTCAAAGATTTCAATTTACTATCTTCTTCTAGACCAGCCAGAAAATACCTGCAAACAGACTTATGACTCATTTCAGCTGGTAAGAATGTAACTGATTGAGTTATTTTATTGGTACTCCTCCCTGGACTTGGTAAACCATGAACTTCAGCATAATTTTCCAGAAAATTCTTTACTATTTCTGAAATATTTGTCAATCACCATTTTAGCTTTCCATTGGGGCATCCTTTTAATATTACCATGAACTCTTGTTAAAAGACCATGGTTTATCAAATGATTTCTGATAATTTTCAAAATCAGTCCTACCAATCACTAACATATTAAAGTAAGTTTCTTGACAAAGGTGATCCCAGTGATAGAAAGTTCTTTTATTAGATCTAGCTTTCTTTTTAAGGTGTCTGCTGGTGCTTGTTAATCCACTATCCATTACTTTAAGTTGAGCCATCAAAAATATGTCTTGTTCAGACTTGGAAAGGATTCCCTTAATTCTGCAAATTGTTTGTTGGGAAGAACAACCACAATTACAACCTTTTTCTAAAAAATCAATGGCCTTTTGATATTCATCAGAACCATTATATTTTTTATTACTTTTCATATACATTTATTATTTTATAATTATTTTAAAATTGGAGAGGTAAAATTAAACTTAGATAAATTCGTGAAATAGTTTTAAGCAAATGATTTAAAAAAAGAGAAATTGAAAAATTTAGTTGACTCATCACATAAAAAGCAATTGTAGTTTAGATTTAATTGTTTTATCATTAGTAAGGAATATAAAAAAAGTAAACAGTAACTTTATTATAAAATAATAACAAGCAAAACATCAATGTTTCATATTTACATACTATTATTGTTTGCATTTATTTTATTTCGTCAGTAATGATTAATAAAAGGTTGTCTTTGTTAGTGAACTTTTTTGCAGGTGGTTAACTGGACTCTTCTTGGTTTCTTCCTTCACCATAAAACTTATCTCTATTATAAATAAAAAATTAATTAAGTAATCAATAAAATAGGACCAAGAGACAATTTAAAAATAAAACAAACCAACTTATTGGCAATAAAAATACTCAAAAGAAATCGAAATCTATGGTGTGACTTCAAACAATTATCTGATAAAGAATTGAATTGGATCCTGGTTTTTCCTTTAATGAAATGGCCATTGAAATCTGTGAATTAATTTGAAGAAGGAAAGGGAATTGCTACTTCTACAACAAAAAACTTCTATCAACGAAAAACCACTTCTAGAAGGAAAACAATAGAATAAATTCAACAATCGGTTGAAAAGTTGAAAAGGAAAAGAAGAAAGTGATGATAAAAGCAATGATGATATGAATATTAGTAATAATAATATTATTGGTAACAGTAGTAATAGTGAAAGTTGAGAGTGTCCAAAGAATAGGTAATATTTACAATGGCTTTGGGTCCGAGTATTTTCCTCCCATGTAAGTGCTCTGACAATTCTTTAACTTATATCATTATGTATTCTTCTATTATAGTTGAATTAAAATAATTTTCCAAGTCATATGTCCACCAAATTTATCATTGGTCGAAATTATGTATAAATTATAACAATTATGATCTAAATCAATAAAAAATTTTAATTTTAGAAATTTTATTTTTTATTTTTAAAAATGTCAACATACGAAGATATTAAAAACGATAAAGAAAAGGCTGAGAAGAAGTATGAGAAGGTGGAAAAGGATTTAGAAGAGTGGAAAAAAAAGTGGGAGGAGAGATTGAACGATTTGAAGAGGGGGAGAGTGAAGGAAGAATATGAAGGAGAAAGGGACGAGTTAATGAAAGAAAAGGTAAATTTAGAGACGAAGGAGGTGAAGTGGGAGGATCAAACGATAAAGTTGCAGGATAAATTATCCGAATTCAATGAAGAAAAAGGTAATGAATAAATTGCGTAAAAAAATATACAAAAAATTGTTTTCTATTTATTCCATTTTGTTTGTTTATTTATTATTATTCACTTGAGAGAGTATTGATATACTTGTTTATAACTTTAACTAACTTGTGGATTTTTTTCTTTTGTTATTTATTATTATTGATTCATTGTTGATTTACTTCTATGACCATTAATAATATTTGATCATTTTTGTTTCTATTAGCTCCAAAGCGGAAAGCTGAAGAATGTAAGAATTTTACCAGAGCAAACATTTTTATGTTGTTCTGTCACTCAAACATATAAATCTTGTTGTTTTAAAAATGGTTTACTTATTTATATATATATCATTTTATTTAACACAGATTCGTTTGAAGATATTAGTGAAGAGCAAATACTTAAAGGTAGCACTTGAATTTATTTCTTATTTTTGCATTGTTTGTCAATCTGATTTTAAAATCACTGCCCAATTTTTTTTTCATTTGATGTATACATGAAGGTATCAAGAGACATCATATTGAAGAAGAGCTGATATCAAATCAAGGTTTGAGTATAATATTTAATTTTTTGTTCTTTTTATTCATTTTGTTTATATAGTTTTTTATTTGTAATTATATAGATATATTATTTGATTTTTCATTTTATGAAAGCATCACCATAGGCAGATTCATTCCAATAAAAAATACATTTAAGGAAGCTGACCTTCAAGAATTATTCAGTTTTAATGATGAAATTCTTATCCGTGGCAAGATGAAGAAATTAATTGATGAACTGTATCATAATGCTATTCTTAAACAAGCAAAAAATGAAAATATGACAATGAAATATGTTTTGAAGGGAGCTGGAGGTGTTGGAAAAACAACAACATTGTATACCACTGCCTGTGCTGCTCGTGCTGCTGGATGTCTAGTTATGTACATCAATGCTAAATATTTCACTGATGGTACAGATTGGATCAATGTTAAGGTTAATCTGTTTGTGCAGCGATGGCTTGAATATACCAAAAACATTGATCTATTAAAGAAGATTCCATCACATTTGCCAGGTTTCATTTCATTGTATAATGTTGCATTAAAAGCAGCTAATGATAAGACTGGTAAAGCAATTCAGGCCTTTTCTGCATTAATTACAGATCTTCGTTGTGTTAAACATATTCCTGTCATTATATGTATAGACCAATATAATTCATTTTTGGTAAAACATAAATTAATCTTGGAAGAAGATAAACCACCACAGATTGTACAACCTGAATATAATCCTATTGCCAATATATTTTCTGATTGGAATAATTTCAACACATCACGAGGAGCTGTTCTATATGCTTTTACATCTTCATATCATGGTGACAAAGCAGCAAATGATGGGAATTCAATGCTTTATGAAAAAATTCAACCATATAATGATTTTGAATGGAATAAAATTACTACTCACTTTTGCAATAAATTACCTGATAACATCGAATTTTTAAGGGAATTTGTAGGTAGCATACCACGGGAGTTTATGCGTTTCCTTAAATATTGGTCTGAATATGGATCTGAGGGAATAGATGTTGTGAAATTCCAATATTTTGAAGATGCAAAAAGATATTATACAGCAAGAATACATAGACTTTTGGATAAGGAAAGTTTAGATGATGAATTCAAAGACAGTGCTATGTTTGCTGCAAAGGTTTTTATGGGAAACAAAGTGAATGAAGTACCTGGATCTTGGGACAGTTCTGGAATGGTAATTCCAGATGGTTATTATTATAAATTGTGCTGTCCAGCAGCAGAATATTCAATTCTGACAGCTTTTGATGACTTTCATGCAAAAGAAGTTATAAAAGTATTGAAAGAAGATAATGCTATGAGTTGGCGTGTACTAGAGCTCTGTGTTCAACACTGCTTTAGAATGGCAGCAAGGAGTGTAACCCCTATAGAATTTTCATACACAGATTTAACAACAAAATCTGAACTCAAAAAGATGATAGTGATTGTCAAAGATGTTGTAGTCCATGATGAAATCCCTCAAACTTTACCAAAATTCAATCCAGGAACATTCTATGTTTGTTGGCGGGGTGCAGCTGTGATTGACTTTTTCATATATAGCATTGATGGCACAAAAATATTTTTACAAGTATCAGAATTATGTTATAGAGAGCACCATACTAAACTTCCAGATCTTTTTGTCAATGGCAAAGTCCCTGTTCATAATCTCTCAATACATCATTTCTTTTCAAAATGCATCAATCCAACATCAACACCTCAAAATTCCTTAGGAGAAAATGAATATTATGTTTACTTGACTACCAATAATAGTGGGATGAAAAAAACAACTGGAACCTATGATGAACAAGTCTGTCTGGTTTCTGGTAAATCAGCACATCATTTTCTTCGCAATTTATATCCCTATTGATAATATCAATTGTTGGACAATGCTTGATTGGTTCTTTTGAATCACCTTTTTTTTACATATGTAGTATAATTTCTTTGAAATATTAAAGATTCTTTTATCTTATAATATGCATACAATCATTTAATTTTTTTTGAAAATATTTTGACCAAACTTGAAATACTGGAGATTTTTATAATATGAGAAAATGAATTGCTGGCATGTTGTTTGAGTGTTATGCAAATAATTATTAAAACTAAGCTAAATTCAATTTAATTCAAATAAATATAAAGTCATTTTGACTTTCTTCTATCTTTGTTACTAGCTCAGATAGGTATCCCAATAATTGATCAATTCTTCTATGTCTCAGTGTACATGGGAAATCCCAAAATATCAAAATAAATACAAATTACTAATTCAAATAGTATCTTTTATAGCTGATACTTCCACCAAATACTATAAAATGTGGATCTGAATAAGTTAGTATTCACAACTAAGAAAGATGTCATAATCTTAGCAAAAGAAAATGGCTAGTAGAGTAAAAAAAAAAAAAATAGAATTAAAGAAATAAATTTAAATTTATAGGGATAAAATTCAATAATCTTTCAATATTAGGGGAGGAGAGTTATATTTTAAATATTAACATTAGAATATTTTCAAGTTCTATTACAATCATTATTGCAATGCTGTAGAAAATCAAACTGTAATGATCTGGAGTGATTCTATCTACTGTGGACTAAAAATATGCGCAGAATGTAGAAATTTGATTTACATGTGATTTTGATCATAAGACCAAATTATTCTATAAAGATATTAGAACCAGAGGACATAGTAATAAGTATGACTGGTGTAAAAAGTTTTAGTTTACTCCACATTATGATATAATATAATAATGAGTAATATTATATACATACAGAAAGGTTCTTTTTATAAAATATACAGAACCTATGTGGCAAATAAGAATTAATTCTTAGAGTTGGTAAACACTGTGTAATTCCTGCCACCCCCAGCCCACAAATTTAATCATCACATCATTGATAAATGTCACATTGATTTTACAAAAATTTTAAGCTACAATTTAGGTTCTTTTTTTATAGAATGAATTGCTATTTTTGGTAGGGTTCTGTATATAATATTTTCCTATAATAATAATTATGATATTTATTTCCATAATTAATTTGTTATTATCTGTAATTTTGTAAATAGTAAATTATAAATCAAGAAAACTAATATATATATAAATCGGAAATGATTTACTAGGGGTTAGGAGCATAATGGACATTCGTTTATCACATAGTGATAAAATTGAATGATGATCTTTTTTATGCTATACCACATTGTATTTTCAATTGATTTAAAATAGAAAAAACTAGTTATAACGCGAGTGATTAAAAATCACTTGTAGAACGATGATGTTTTGTTCGAATATACTCTTCGTTAGTTAAAAGGCTTGGGCAAAA